GTTGCCGGCTGGGCTTGAACCACGACAAAAATGAAGGCTGGAATTCCTTTACAAAAGATGAATTTCAGTTCTTGAACTAATTTCCCAATTATGGTCATGATAAGCCTTTTCCTTTTTAAAGTGGCTTACATCAAGTTTTACTTTAAGTAGAAATTGCCCATTCATGGCATTAGCAGATTTACTTATAAAAGAGTCACGTTTCTAATGTTTTAATGAAAATTTGTCTGGAAAATTTATCTTGGGAGAGTTCTATAAAAAAATGAAAAAATAAAAAAATCACTGCTAGAGACAATCATTTGCAAATTTTAGTGTAAGACCAGACTTTCATCAGTGAGATACTACTTTGAAAATGGATCACTTTGCAGAACAGAAGTGTCAGTCTTCAGCCATTTCTCAGTCCCTGAGAGACCATCCTTGCAGTATGTGTATTCCTGCTCCACTCATCGGCATGATTAGGTGTAGCCAAACATGTCCTTCCTGTGAGAAACCTTCACAGCAGGTATTGCTTTTGTTAGGAGCATGAGAGTTTAGTTGGAGCAAAGTATGTAGGGGAGAGGATTTATCTGAGTAGCACTTTCACAGTATGGTGTCAAAAGCACAAATGTAAGTAGCCTTACAACTGATAAGCCTTTATTTTATGCACAATTAATTGAAAGTACTCAGTTAGGTTTCAGATCTTATTTGTTTCTTTCTGCATATGATAGGTGACTATATGCCCAGTGCTTGTAGAATAGTTTTGTAGAAGAGATGTGCTACTTGTCCTTCAAAACTTTGGAGCAATGAGATTTAAATCTCAGCAACAGAGGTCAGCTGTCCTCTTGGTCTCTGACTCTTTACTCTTCCACAAAACCAAAATTCACATTTTTATTATCACATATGTATTCCACTTGAAGTAATCCTGTGGGTATTGTTTTTGTTGTATTCTCCATTAAGTAAATTTACATAAACATTATGTAAATATTGTACAACCCCAGGGTAGGATTGTATAATCTAGTTCATACAGAGCTCGTAGTACTTATCCTTCGGTTTTCTTCATTGATTGCATGGACTTGACTTGAGAAGGAGGATGTAATTCAACAAAGAGCAAGGACAGCAAGATCTGTGTGAATGTGATCAAAGTCTTGCAGCACTGAGCAAAAGGCAATTTAAATTGATGTTGTCTGTGGTTACACTGCCATCTAGTGATACAAGGAATCAATGTCTGCTCTCTATTTTGTTTCTAAAGATCAGCATCTTCATGACACATTTGTCTAATTATGGAAACGACCGCCTGGGATTATACACCTTTGTGAACCTGGCCAATTTTGTTCATACCTGGACAAACCTGAAACTGCAAACTCTTCCTCCTGTTCAGCTGGCTCACAAGTATTTTGAACTATTCCCTGAGCAGAAGGACCCTCTCTGGCAGGTAGGCAGGTTTGGTGATGAAGAGATTGGAAGAAATATCATCTTGATGATGGTTTTTGTGAAGTTCTTTGCTTCTGTTTCTTGTAGAGAAAAGTAGTAATATTTTCAGGTTTACTAGTTGGTTACATAAAGCAGCTTACTGACACTTCGGTGTATTTGATTGTTTCCCATCACGTAAATCTCCATAAAAGGTTGTGAAATTAATATGTATTAGGTGTGTAATTAAAATTATCTTTCATTTTATTTGTTACTTGCTTTTAGAAATGCGGGAGATGCAGGAAAGATGTATTTCTCTTCTCCTTTTGGAGCTAACGTGTGAAGCATTTGACAGAGAAATGTATATGTGTGCTTTAGTAATTGGCCATTAAAGAAATGAACTTTTCTTCAAGGGTGTGAGGAGGAGAGAGCATCCAAATAGAGAGAAGAGCATTAAGACCATGTCTACCTTAATGTTAAAACTGACTAGCCAAGTAAAAATAGATCAGATAAATGAGAAACTTATTCACAAAAGGCTGAGAACTGCCCAAACAAGTTTACCAGCACATAATACATTGATATTATCAACTCTGCTGCTTGATTATCCTGCACTTGGAAGTGAGTAAATTGAAAATATCAGGAATATGAAGACCCATTAAGCCTGAAGCCTGCACTAACCTTGCAGTTGACATATCTTCAGCCCATCATCCAGCACTAAGAGCACAGGCCCTAAAGGGAAACAAATGCAGCAAGTGGTGAACCCTGTTGTGTTCTTTTTGCGTACGCTTGGTGACGGTTCAACCAATTCAGTGGAATGTCCAAGTGCTGTAGATACACGTGTCCTTACAGTGACAGTATGTATCCCAAATACCATCCTGTTGAGGGTATTTGGTAGAAATATTCTAAGGAACAAACTTTACTAAACCAAACATAAAAATGTATTTAAGCTTGCTTACTCAAATATTTTCTAGTGTTGGATACTGAATTACCAATTTAGAATCTGAGTGTGAGATTGCAAATTTGGATTTACATATGCATGTTTAAATTCATGCTGTTATTGAATAAAATATTGAACGAGGAGGAAAAAAGTCAAGGATTTTGCATAATGTTAAGGGAGAATGAATTTAAAAAATGGAAATCAGCCTGTAGCCAGGTGACTTGAAGTATTAGTGTTACTTAGAAAAGGCATTTTATAAGTAACAGTGACTATTATATACTGAATGTGGGGGGTTTTGATGGTAATGCACATGAATCTGAATGCAGTTAGATTTTTTTAAATTCCATCTTAGTGCAGTACTGCCAAACAACGGATCAAAAACTGTTAGCAAGTAGCATTTCTAAAACAAATTTAAAGTGTTTCAGTTGTAAAGCAGCAAATGAAAAAAAAAATCAAGATTCAGTGTTACGTACTGATTCGAATTGGAGGATCAGAATACGTATTTGTGAATGGAAAGACAAATTATAACTAATTTATTATTTCAGTTTAAAAACTACAGCATGGATAGGGTGGTAGCTGTTGCAGTAATGTGAAAGAAAACATCGGTAACTAGATAACTCATTAGCAATTTCAAGCCTTCCTATCTTGTATGTAATTGAACAATTGATTTTGAATTATTCCCACAACTTAAGATTTGGGATCCACTGAACATACTGACATTTCATAGGAGAAATTATCTTGTCCCAGGGTGTATTGGATAGCCAGAGCAACTATATACGTGGAGAATGAAAACTACATTTCTTCAATATACTTGTCTCATTAAAAAACCCCAAGCAAGCACTTAGAAGATACAGTTTCTGGCCTAGTTACATTGCAGATACATTTCTGAGTCACTGAAATAGTTTAATACATAGCATGGTTTTCTGTCATAAGGGAAAATAATATTTTTAGGTAAGAATATTTGTACATTAGTAAAAAATCTGGTTACCCATGAAATTCTTAGTTGTTCTTCTCTGTTTTAGAATCCCTGTGATGACAAACGGCACAAAGATATCTGGTCGAAAGAAAAAACCTGTGATCGATTACCAAAATTCTTGGTTGTAGGACCCCAGAAAACTGGTGAGATGTTGTTGTACTTGAACAATATAGACTGTGTGTGAGATGAAATAATTATACCAATTAGTCAATTTTTACTTGGAATACTGTGCAGAGTTCTTGATCATCTATTAGCATATTTTAATTTTCAGATATTCAAATACAGTATAATAATGTAAGTTACAACAACAGACAGTACATATATTGAAAATGCAGGGTTCAGGTGTGTGTCAAATTTTTTTGGCTCTATGTCAAAATGAGTAACACTGATAAAGAGATCAACAAGATAGACAAGATCTTGTCGATGTGGAAGGACAAAAGGACAGCCATTTTTCAAATTGTAGATTCTTAACTGCAAGTTCTTGTCTGTCCCACAAGTGTCTTGTTTATAGAAACTTGTTATTTCATAGCATTTTTTTCAAGTCAAGAAGTTCCTAATGGACAGTTTGATTTGCAATCCCCAGTAGCTACTGAGTGCAAAATTTTTAAATTTTTTTGGTGACAGTCTCATAAAAAACAGTAATTGTTTTTAAAACACAGTTACTAAAATCGTGAAAAGCCGATTTCGGCATTGGCAGTCCAGTTTCTGTGTTAACTATCTACAGTTCTTTAAATGTCATCAGTTTAAAAGCACAGAAAGCACAGATTCTTAGGTGATACCAATCAGCATCCTGTCACTGAAATGAAATAGAATAAAACTAGTATTCCATCTAGGAGTATGACCCCTCCAAAAAATGTATGTGTTAATTTATTTTTTTTAATCTTGGATTTTTTTGTCCTGTTTGCAGGTACCACAGCTTTGTATTTGTTCCTGGTCATGCATCCTTCCATCATTAGTAACTCCCCCAGCCCAAAAACCTTTGAGGAGGTACAGTTCTTTAATAGAAATAACTACCACAGGGGGATTGATTGGTAAGATGGGTTATTAGTATAAATATAAAAGTTTATATATTGTGAACAATACAAAAATGACATTACTGTGGGTAATGGTTTATATAGAGAGTGAGATAAAAAAAGACCATCAGTGTCCTTCTAAAATGATAAATGCAAGTGAATAGCAATCTTATTACTGAATATTATAAATGCACTAATTTTTGTCAGGTTTTCTTGTGAATATTCATTTATTAATATATGCAGGACAGTATATGTATACATATGTAATATATATATGAAATATATATGTAATATATATTTCTCATTACATGTGCCTTTGAACTTGGGAAAGTAATGGTTGTTAGTTGGATATATGTAGGCAAAATTATGTTCCTGTTGGAAAACTTATTTCTTAAAGTAATACCAGGGAGAGGTATTTTTTTTTCCTTCGAATAGGATTTCAATATAGCAATCAGGTAAAAGGGGGACGGGGAAGGCCTCTCAAAATGTTTTTCAAGGATCAGATAATAAGGAGAACGTTAGTGTCTCTGCAGGGTTAGTAAGTGGTGCTGAAAAAGAGTATATATCACTCCTGCCATGTTCTATGGCTACTAGGGTATCGCCAAACATAGTGACACCCGAAAGGTCATTCTTGATTTCTCTTTCAGAAAGTGCTGCATTCTGAAGCACAAGATGAAAAGCAGTAATATGCTGTAATGGTGGGGAAGCACCAGTAAAAGATTACTGATGTTTTATCTTCTTCCTTTCCCT